TTTATCATTAGAAAGAACGCAATGTCAAAATAAAGTTCCCATTCAATTTGTTACAAAGGCATCATCTTCATGCAGTTTGTACAGCCTGCATTCGAGATAAATTATGTCTATGGAGGACGCTGTTTTGTGTTTTTATGGCCGCTTTGGAAGTTGGATAGCAGCCATAAACATAGCGCCGCTGTATCGGCATGGAGGTGATGAAGCGATCTTTCTTTCCACAGTCTCGCAACATAAAGAATTCCTTGAAAGTGTTCTCAACACAACGACACTTGACTTCAACACATTTTGCGCTAAGATGTGTAATTATCGCTGTTTAATATATGCAAAAGCGAAAATGGATGTGACCTACTTGGGGCAAAGCATTGCGCCGGGGCTACATCGAGGGTACTTACAGTATGACTTAATTTTAAAACATGTGCTATGATAAATTGACTCAAATTTGCCTGAATTTTCTTTCTTTTGTCTTCGGTGGCGGAGAAATTTTGAGATTATGAAATTGAATGTGAAAGGACATTTGAAGAAGTGGTTGTGGAAGCACTGGCACAAACTTGTTTATCAGATAACGTAAATGTCAAAATACTATGAAACGTCGCATTGAATTTGTTGCAAATTAGATGGACATCATGGACTTTGAACAGTTTATACAGCCAGCCTGCATTTGAATACAGTTATGCTGTTATGTACTCTGGACGATCCTGTTTTCTTTGTGGATTCAAATTTGGAGGATGGATAGAATTACAGTTGTAATAAAACGGCTATAAACATGGCGCCGCTGTATCGGCAAGGAGATGATGAAGCGAGACTTTCTACAGTCTCGCATTACATCTTGGCACAATGACACTTGACTTCAACACATTTTGCAGTATTAGCCACTGTTCCGAGCTATTTGATGTGCGATTGTTTTACGATTTGTAGCGGATAATTATGAATGTAAATTGCCGTAACTAGCGTGCGCAGGTATGTAAAATCCTCACATTTCAAATTTGTTTTATTTTGTCCCAGTGATGATAGCCATGGATGTTTTACGGAAACTAGTGCTGTTATTCGTAATTATTAAGCGTGTACAACTCTTGATAAGTAGAGTTGTGCCAGTATGGAGAAAATATATATTTAGAAATGCTCCTTTTTCACCCGGTCGATTAGCCGCGTATTTATAGTCGGCACTATCTCCAAGTTGTTTTAAGACATCCAAAGTTTGAGTTCATAAATGCTGAGCTAGTGTAATAAACTGCAGGCCTGCAGAGTATATCTCGGATTGAATCATTTTTGAGAGCGCGAGAACGTGACAAAGATAACTAATTTTTGTGTGTTGCAGCGATGCTAATTTCGTGCTTCGACGTACACACGTAAAATTGCCCAAATATCGAAATCTTTTGAAATTTGAAACAAACCCCTTTTGTATTGATGATAAGCAAGGGTTTCTTAATCCACACACAAAGTTTAAGGCTGGGTTTATTTTTGAACCAGTATCGAGTGGTCGGAAATTACAGAGACGGACTCTTAAGGTGCTTTTAGTCGTTTTCCGAAAAGGCTACGAGAAGGCGACCGAAAAGCTTGCGATCACAAGCTTTGCCACTGAACTAAACGATTTGATTTTGAGCTTATGAATTGGATCCAAGAAATTAATTTCTTTACTCTGAACTCTAGATGAAACAAAGCCCTCCATGCTTTGTTTTCCTAACTCTGCTGCGTCAAGAAGTCTTTTTGCCTCAGCATCTGGTAGAACAATACCTGTGGCAAGATTACTCAAAGTTAACGGTGCTTCGTTGTTGATAATATCATCAGGATTGTGAAAAGGGTCACTGAGGAGTTTACCGTTGAACGTAGCAAGTAGCTTCTGCACATCGTTTTCATCTCTTGTTACTCTTGTTACTCTTGTTACTCTTGTCGCACTTGCTTCTTTGTGCGTTCCGATCCTGTCGCAATTCTGTATCCCACACATGGTCTTGAGTTTTTGTGTTATTGCCGCTCTCTCATGACTGGTTAAAAACCATTTCTCTACCGAATTTTCGTTGGTACTCATGCCTATTATGCCGCCTTACGACTTCGAATCCAGATTGATTGATTGCTCCAGGGCCATGTCGGGCCAAACTCGTGCAAACGGTTGCTTCGAACGGCTCACACTATGACTTCCTGCCATGAACTTTTGACAGACTTCAGGATGGTGTGATTCCAACATGTTCATGTCGGAAAGGTACACGGGCAGCCATAGAGCGTAGTTGACCCTGTCCATGGAAAAGAAATGAGGAACCATCGCAGCAGTAGCGGAGAGATGAAGCTTCCAGTTCCCAGTTCGTTCAGCTTCAAGAAACTGCAAGAGCAACAGCACCATGTTGATATAATCTTCCCAGCAGTTGAATACCTTGGACTTCTTTCTGCTCTCTAACTTTAAAGTGTCAAGTAGTAGCATCAGAGACTCGATACAACCTTGAAATGCCGACCAATTTACCGCGAAGAAATCTTCCTGTTTAACTGTGTTCCGGCATTCCTTACTTCTGCCGAGAATAAGTTGCTTTGTCCCGTTCTTTAGTCCAACTTTTTCCCTTTCCAGCCATTCCACGAAGACTTGCCACAAAAGTCTGAAAATCACTTCCATGGTAAGCGTGTGCGCCCGAATCCCTCGATTGTAAGACTTACCAAGCATAATTACTGAAGTGGTGCTTAGTGGATTACCGTACTGCTTGCGCTGTATATAGCCATTGTGGTTGCATGTGTTGTCTTCTTCCCGTCGAGCGTCTCTTCATTAATATCGTTGTTGTCAGCCGCCATTTGTATAAACACACCAGGATTTATGTTAGTTGGGATTATAACACCACTAGTCTTTGATCTCGCTAAACTTTCATTGACCAGGCTCGTCTCCACTTGTTCAATTTCCACGTACGAAGAACAGTGACCCATTCTGTTCAACAGAATTACCAACTGTTTTGAACCAGTTATGTGCTTGACTGACATGGCAAGCGCTTCGTACTTAGGAAGCTTTGCTTGTGCGGCCATTATAATCTTGCGCTCATCTGCAGGAATTCTTGCATTTGAAGATGAACTGCGGTCGCTATAATGCTCTCCAGTTATGATCCATCTTAAAAGCCAGTAGAGATTTTGGGGTGGAAGTTCTTTTGCAGTATGGAGGTTTAAATCACTGATATCAAGTGGATGGATGTCGATGCCATTACATTTCATTACTTCTTGTCTCACTTGAGTTGCGACAGCGTAGATGTCGAAGAACTCGGACGTGGATGCATTCATTTTTTCCTTGGACATACAGCTTGTCGTGTCTGGTGGCGGAGAGTTGATATATTGCCGCATTTACGATATCAACCAAAGATGTGGAACTGCTATACACTATCTCCGGTTTGGATTGTTGAGGTGGCTGGTGGAACACAAGGTCTTCCTTATAATGGGCCACTAATCGCGCTTTAAGCTTTTGCTTCGTGTAGCTTTCTCCAGCATTGCATAATTTTTCTAACTCCTTTTTAAACATAGCTAAAAGAATGTTCATGTCGTAGGCCTTGCCGTTATTTATTTCAGTCGTTATGGTCTTCACCAGCTGGTTAAAGGCTTCATCAAAAGGGTTTTCATCAATTGTGCAAGTATCGCGCTGCATGCGTTTAATATTTACTTTGCTGACATAAGAAGCATGACATGCTTTGTGGTATTTCACTCCTGCTGGGATAAGATCATAATTAACTGATTGAAGTACATCAAGCAGTTGGTGATCCACTCGTGCTTCTACGGACTCTTTTATGGTGCTACATGCTTCAAAGGTGACAATATTTATAAGATTTATGTCCTTCTTACGTGTTGCGTTCCTGCAGAACATACACTTCGACCAATCAAATAATGTGCCGCCTCGTTTGCCAACTTTGACATCAACAGGATTATTTGACGTTTTGGATTCTGAAAATGGTAGGTTTTGCTTGCTGGTGAATGCTTCGTAATAGGATAAGTGCCACAAAACGTGTTTTCCCTCCACATGACAAAGATCATTAGGTGTGAGGCGTTGCGACACCTGCAAATGTTTAACAATATTTCAAATCTTGTCGTTGCTTAAGTGCAGAAACAATTTTCTCTTGTGAAGAAGGCTTTGCAACTCGCAGATTAGCATTACCCGTCTGGCAAAAAATACACTTGTCGAAACAGGTCAGTTTCTTCAATCTTTTAGCTGGTTTTGGAAGGAGCTGCCAGCCATCGTCATCCATCCTTTTGAAATCATTTTTGCTGCATATTATTATCTGTGTACAGACTATGTTATGTGAAATAAAAGTTTTGATGTGATTTTATCGCTTTTGACCGACTACAGAAAAAAAATTATCTATTTTTTTATCAAAAAGTTTTGTTTACAATAATACCGGGTGTCCCCCCAAAAAATTGCGCTGTTTGATTTCGTGTAAGGTGAAACTATAAAAACTATCACACTCAAATTAATTTTATTGTATTCAGGAAAGGCTAACTTAGATTTTCATACACAGCCCTAAAAATTTCATTTAATATTACGTGAGATGCAAATGTTTGAATTGGGCGCACGCTTTAAAAATGAGTAAACAAATCGGAAGAATGGCTGATCAAATTTATATGAAAACAATTGCTATTTTCCACAAACAATTTCAATTTTTGAAACAAATGATAACGATATTACATTTATTAAACGACGTTTCGATGCTACAGCGTGCATCATTTTCAAGTTATAGTATTACATATATTGCAATACTATATATATTTTGATGTACGCTGTAGCATCGAAACATCGTTTAATAAATGTAATATCGCTATCATTTGTTTCAAAATTATTTTCAAAAAAGTTTTTGATTAAAAATTTCAATTTTAGCATCAACTTTAATTTCGGGTAAAGTTCTAGTATAAGTTAGTCTTTCACGTTTCTTAGGAAGCAAAATAAGCATGAAACATTTAAAGAACGTTCGAAATCATATTTGATGTCCTCTAGGAGTTCGTATTATAAGACTTATAAAGTTGGTCTTCGTTCGCCTTTCGAATATGCCTCGATTAACAAAAGATCAAAGAGTTTGGGTTTTATGGTTCCCGTGCAAGACATTGCATACGTGAAAAATGACGTACTTTCTAAGACAAATGAATAAATTGGTTATCCAACAATTATATGTTTTTCATTCGTTTTTTTGGGCGCAATAAATCTATATATCAAGGTTAAGCAACAACCGGTATTTTTGGCGGGAAAATATCTCGGTCTATTTTAAGACAAACATTCACGAGATTTACGTCTGTTTTAACTGAGTAAGGCAAACAAACTTTTCACAACAAATTTTGCGTCCTGTACAAATGATTTTTTAGCAAAATAAATGGATAACATATAACAAGTCCAAACAAAGATACTTCAAGTATTGTGCGTTTGTGCAATATTTTTAAAACTCGACTTCGCATTAACCCACTATGGCACTAGGCTGAATATTGTTTTAAATACAATGAGGAAAACAACCCACGAAGCCATGTAGTTTCTTTTTATTATTCTGGCGACTTTTAAATCCCAGTGAAATAGTTCCCATCTTAGTTTTCATTTTTTTATGTACAAATATATGAAATATAAATAATAATATCCATTTTGTTCCCAATGGCTAGCATTCCAAAGGTCGTAGGTTCGATTCCCACCGTGGTCAGGCATATTTTTCAAGCTTGCCCGATGTGGATATACACTCAGAGTAACATCACAAGCATAATAATATCCATATTACATTTTTGAAACCTTCAGTGTTCAAACCTTTCATTTTCACTTTCCGTGGAGATCCCCACCAGCAAAATTACATCGAAAACAAAAAGAAGCAGCACTCTAAGTATCCTTTTTTTAAAAACAATATTTAAACATGTTAATTAAATAACTTTAATATTTTAACTTAGAAATAAACTTGTATGCAAAACGATGTTATTTGTAGAGAAGAGCACAAAAACTCCGAGCAAAGAGCCTGGGTTCGAGTTTACAAAGATGCGCTTATTTCTTTAACGTTTTCCAATGGAAATAAATTTGTGTGACGAAATGGGACAGAATACGACCAAAAGTGTTGCTATAAATTATTATAATGCGAATCAAACCTTAAATAACGTCTCAACCGGAATTTAAACGTACAGCAATTGACAGAAAAGCGGATTTTTGACGAAAAGCAGTCACGTGACAAATCATGTTACGTGATTTGTTGCTATATAGTCTAACAAATGTTAAGCACACACCAACCCTTCATCGTTTGATAGTTTTTAGAGTATTTAGATCACAGAATATAGATTTGAACTGTAAATAATGCTGTAACCTCGTTTTGATGTTGAGTTTTGATGTGAGTACGATAGCGGGTAAAGAATCCCAGATATACGATTATTGGTACCACAATTCGAGACAACATAGTACCTAGTCTTAAAGAGCACTTCTTGTTTTCTAGGAAACTGGTGTCAGACCTTTTCTGTCTAGTCGGTTGAACGAAACCGCCTTTTGCATGGGTCAGCTCCTTGACGCTGCAAACGGTAGATTTTAATTGTTTGTGAAGAGTAGAATTTGCTATACTTGTATTTATTAGCAATATTGTTCAGCTTACCGTTAAACTTCATTTGCTCTGCGCGAGGTAGGTTAGATTTGTTTAGTGATTGATAATTTCCTGTGTCGACAGTAGATTTCTGAACCATATCTTTATAGCAGGCGGAAACAAGGGCGACTAGTCGTTTTGTTTTGTCTTGTCTGTAGATGTGATAACAATGTTCTCCGGAGGTTTCTTGTATGATAGTTTTTTCAACTTGAGAATTTTAGCACCGACTTTTTCGCATTCCTTTATGATACGTGTCATTCCGCCCGTTAAAACTCGTTTAGGGCACTTTCGGGAATGTGTTCTTCTTTAAGTCGATCGGTCGCTCGTTGCAAACTCGCCTTGGACAATAAGCAACGTTTCGGTAATTCCTTGGGTTCAGCATTTACGAATGAAGGGCCATTATGCAAGATGTTAGTTAGCTGGGGTTCTAGATGTTCCATTGACATGTTTTTAAATTCCTGTGGTTTGTTTATGGTTGGGTGATTGGTAGTACGTCGTGGAGCAAGCAGTTGATTGAATTTGTGTTGTTTTATTCGGTCTAGCGAGGTTTGGATATTGCTAATTAGTTGATCTTCATGATAGTTCAACGGGAAAACAGGGCATCGTATCTTCGACAGACGGTTATACTGTTCATTGATGGCTAATTGTAGCCACTGTCTGCTGTGTTTCTGGGCTAACTTGACAGCTAGATGTGAGTTTGTTGTGTGCGCAAGGATGTTTTCAGCTTGAAGATCTTTAGGTTAACTCTATTCGACTTGCACGTACGTAGAAACGATATATGACTTTGGTGGCTAATAATTTTCTGAGCAATAAGATACGATGACTGTGTTTGAGGAAACATGTCTGGTATAATATTCTTGTGGTTTTGTTGAACTTTTCTTCAGACATACAAAGTAAAAACTTTCATTCGTAAAATAAAGTTTTAAAATCCCAAACGTTTCGCCGATCAAGGCTTCTTCAGAGGGAAACTATTTAAAAGTCATATATTGTCCCTATATATATATATATATGCAAGTCCGTCAATACTCAATAGCCTAAATTACAATATATAAAACTAATTAGAGATAAAACGACTCTCTTGATTACATGTACATGATTAAAAAAATCGGCCGCGGCGGCGACAACGACGACGACGACGACGACGACGACGACAACGACGACGACGACAACAACAACAACAACAACAACAACAACAACAACAACAACAACAACAACAACAACAACAACAACAACAACAACAACAACAACAACAACAACAACAACAACAACAACAACAACAACAACAACAACAACAACAACAACAACAAGATTAGCAGCGGTTGGGGAGCAGTTCCTGTCCAATAATATGTCGGTACAAATAGGTGCAAACACAGCGGGTTCGGCGAGATCGTAAAGGGCAAAATGCTCGATATGATATAAAGCTACAGTACGGTAGAGCCAACACAAATTTCCAAATATTTTCCTTTTTAATATAACAAATTAAGCAGTGAAACCAGTGGTAAACACTTTAACACTCTCAAAATTACAATAACGTGCGCCTTCTCATATTTGTCCAAACAAGTGTCTCATTGTTCATCATTGTTCATTGTTGTTTTGTGCGTACGCATCTCCCAGAATTATTAACTAAGTAGTCTCAGACCCCGTTTACACGCTACCGGACGAATTTGGGACCAGTCTGAATTCGTCCGTTTCGGCCGTGTAAACACGCGAAAACAGCTGAACCGGATGAACCTGAGACACCTAAAACAGGACAAAAAGGAGGACCGAATTTCATGTCAGTCCCAAATTTGTCTGGTACCGTGTAAACGGAATTATTTGACAATTGTCGCTAGTGGCAATTGACGAGTTTCTCTAAACTTACAATTTTTATATCTTAACCTAAACGAATCTTAAATTATTGAATATATTAATCTTTTAAATTTTGTAAATGTAGGCTAATCTCGTAAGTAAATATAATTTTGTAAATGTAATTTTCAATATGCAGCATATATTTAACATTATCAATCCATGTAAAATCAAGTTTTTTTGTTGTTATCTTGTCAACAGCGTACAAATTGATCATGATTAATTAAACACTTAATTAAATTAAACACTTAATTACACTGGCCGCAGCCAGTGTCATAATTTGCCCTCGCTGGAATGCGAAGAATTTTTTCGTTTTTTTTTTGTTGTTGTCGCAAGTGTGACTTTCCATTGCGGCATCGTGGGCTCAGGATTGCGCAATTCAGCCCCTGAGCTATAATAATATTACTGTAATATTATAGCTCAGTGAATTTAGCTATCACATTACACATGCTCACTATAATTTATAAACCAATTCCTATAAATTTTGAGAAGAAATTACTATTTATATACTATTG